AGTCACTATAATAAGACAATGTGTCATGCGCAACACCTGCATCCCTACCTCCAAGTTCAAGGTCACACTTAGAGGTCAAAAGTTAACATAGTCTGTTTTAGGGTATATTTTATGTCTGATCTAGAACTTCTTCGGTTTTTGAAATAACTAGGCACAAATAGTCACAATAATAAGACAATATGTCAGGTACAACACCTGCACCCCTACCTCCAAGGTCAAGGTCACACTAAGAGGTCAACGGTTAACAGTGTCTGTTATATGGTATATTTTGTGTTCAGTCCATAACCTTTTCATAGATCAAGGGATTTTAAAAACACTTTGCACAAATAATCACAATAATAAGATGATATGTCAGGCACAAAACATGGGTCCCTACCTCCAAGGTCACACCTAGAGGTCAAAGATTGACATAGTCTGTTATAGGGTATATTTTGTTTCCGATCTATAACTTCTTCTTAGTTCAAGGGATTTTGAAAATACTTGGCACAAATAGTAATAATAATAAGACGATATGTCATGCACAACACCTGCACCCCTACCTCCAAGGTCAAGGTCAAACTTAGAGGTCAACGGTTAACATGATAGATTTTTAAATTCAGTGTTTCATTTCACTAGTATTTCTTTAATAAATTTATTGTTACATTTGCAGATCTAGCATTGATCATAATTTTGGACTGAAAGTCCTGAGATCCATACCTCAATCTTTTGAAATAGCACAATTTTATGCTTCATATAAAACTACCCCGAGGCGGGGGACGTTGGTAACTCTGTTACAAAATCATTGTGTCTGTATGTTTCTCTTTAAATGTTTTATGTCTACTTCAGCGCTTTATTCGATTCATATTCAACTTGTATATATACTACATTATTTAAGATATAATTGAATTTAAAAGACTTATCTTTTTTAAAAAATGAAGTTTATTTATGTTTGAATTACAAAGAAATCCGGTGTAGTTATAAAACTTAAAATGGTTAGAAAAAACACTGAGCTATTTGATGTCATATCTGTGACTTATCCTTGGAAGTATAGTAACCACTGCGTATTATTTCATTTGAAAGATATATTATACCCTATTTTATTTGTCATATTGTGAAATATAGAATTTTGCATGACTGTAAAAATGAGTGTTTAAATTGCATGAAGATTGATTCATAAAGCTTGTGTAAATCTCAATGGAGGTATGAAATAGTTTCGAAATGATGGTGTGTGGGCAGATGGTTGATTAAATGAATGTTATACTTTCATTGAAGATGTTTCACAGATAAACATTGTGTCACAAATATTGCCATGGTTATCTGTTTGATAACTATCTGTATTTGAACAGGCACAGCAGCTTATTCAATGTGGTTTATTAAAAAAGAATTTCCATTTGTTTTAATTAATGGGTGATTTTGTTCTCAAAAGCTATATAGCAATATCATTAATTAAATGCTAATTGATATGAGATTTTGATTAAAATATACCTGAATAAAATTTTATCATATGAAAATATAGAAGCATGAGGGTCAAAAGTAGGTCATTAAGTCAATCTAATATATACAATTACCAGACATTGAAGAGAATTTCTCCCAGTCTTGAGAACTCTCAATCTTTGTCCTATTGTATGCCTCTCACCTCCCCACCCACATGTTAAGTTCTAATGGCACCAGTACAAAGAACATTGGCATGTTATATAAAAAGCAAGTAGTGGTGTATGGTGCATACATAATTTTCTCTCTCACCCCTATCTTATACGATATACGATATATACGATGTTCCCTATCTTAAAGATATACAATGTTCATCTTTTATTATTTAATCAAGATTTTGATAAGAGAATGTGCAAATTATAAATGGGAAGCTGCATTTCCAAACTGGTCAAATTGAGTTGGTCAGGTTTTTTTAGCTCACCTGTCACAAAGTGACAGGGTGAGCTTTTGTGATCGCTTTTCGTCCGTCGTCCGTCTGTCGTCCGTCCGTCCGTAAACTTTTACTTTAAATGACATCTCCTCATAAACCACTAAACCAATTTCATCCAAACTTCACAGGAATGTTCCTTTGGTGGTCACCTTTAAAAATTGTTCAAAGAATTTAATTCCATGCAGAACTCTGGTTGCCATGGCAACCGAAAGAAAAAACTTTAAATATCTTCTTTTAAAAAACCATAAGAGCTAGAGCTTAGATATTTGGCATGAAACATCTTCTAGTGAGTGTCTACCAAGTTTGTTCAAATAAAAGCCCTGGGGTCAAAATTGGCCCCACGGGCATTGATTTTCCTTATATGTGTATAGCAAAAACTTAAAAAATCTTCCTTGAAAAAAACCCAAATAGCTAGAGTTAAGATATTAAGCATGAAACATCTTTTAGTGAGTGTCTACAAAGTTTGTTCAAATAAAAGACCTGGAGTCAAAATTGGCCCCGCCACGGGGGTCATTGATATTCTTTAAATGTGTATAGCAAAAACTTAAAATCTTCTTTGAAAAAACCCAAATAGCTAGAGTTTAGATATTAAGCATGAAACATCTTCTAGTAAGTGTCTACAAAGTTTTTGTTCAAAATAAAAGCCCTGGCCCCGGCCCCAGGGGTCATTGTTTTTAACTATATTGTGTATAGTAAAAACTTAAAAAAAATCTTCTTTTAAAAAGCCCAATGAGCTAGAGCTTAGATGTTTAGCATGAAAACATCTTCTTTGTGGGTGTCTACCAAGTTTGTGCAAATAAAAGCCCTTGGGTTAAATTGGCCCTGCAACGTTTTTAGGCGGGGGTTGGGGGTTGGGGGGGGGCGCCTATATACAGGTGAGCGACCTCAGGGCCATCATGGCCCTCTTGTTTTAGAAAGCTGTCAGTTTTTAATTGACTCTTTGTATTCATTATAATTATGTACATTGTAATAAATTTTTATTTAACACTTAAAAAGACATTTTGTGGCATATCATTCGAAACTTATGTTCTCGGTAGATTTTGTCAAATTGGCATGGAAACATGTCTTTAGCTGGACATAAAGGTGTCCCAGATCCGTTATGCACTAGTCCCATTGAATAATTATGAAAGTTTTATCATGCCCCTTGCAACTGATTTACCCTATGTGATTGTAAGAGACTTAATGGGTTGCATTATTGGAGTCTATTTATCTCTTAGCTCTAGCAAGTGAGGTGGTTTTGACCCCTGGTGTTGCTAAAAAATTTGTGTTACACCTGAGGTTAGCCAAAATCTTCTTTTCCTGTTTCAGCGCCATATGACGTAACTGTGTTGGTGAACAGTAAAAACAAACAAAAACGCCACAAAAAAAGGTTAATTTTCATTTTTTGTAATTTTAACCAGTTATATCCAAGGGAAAAAAAGGTTATTAGGATTGAGGTATGTTCGGCGGGCGGACGGGGCGGGCGGGCGGGCCGTAAACAATTTTTTCTGTGCGGGCAACTCCTCCCACATTTCTCAACGGATTTGACCAAACTTTCACAGAAGCTTTGTCATCAAGTGCCCTGGCGCATATTGTCGGGGTTTTGCGATTAGATAATATTTTGACCTAATTATGGCCCTTTGTTTTTTTTTCCTTATATAGAATATATAGTGAACAATTTCTTCTGTGCGCAACTCCTCTACATTTCTTCAACGGATTTTGACCAAACTTTCTCAGAAGCTTTGTCATCAAGTTGCCCTGACACATATTGTCAGGGTTTTTTGCAATTGGTATATATTTGACCTAATTATGGCCCTTTGTTTTTTTTCATTATATAGAATATATAGTGAACAATTTCTTCTGTTTTGACGCGCAACTCCTCCTACATTTCTCAACGGATTTTTGACCAAACTTTCACAGAAGCTTTGTCATCAAAGTGCCCTGGCGCATATTGTCGGGGTTTTGCGATTAGATAATATTTGACCTAATTATGGCCCTTTGTTTTTTTTCCTTATATAGAATATATTAGTGAACAATTTCTACAGTGCGCAACTTCTCCTACATTTCTCAACGGATTTTGACCAAACTTTCACAGAAGCTTTGTCATCAAGTGCCCTGGCGCATATTGTCAGGGTTTTGTGATTGGATAATATTTGACCTTATTATGGCCCTTTGTTTTTTTTCCTTATACAGAATGAAACAAATTCTTCTGTGCTGAACTCTTCCTACATTTCTCAACGGATTTTGTTCAAAACTTTACAGAAGCTTTTGTCATCAAGTGCCCTAGCACATATTTGTCGGGGTTTTGTGATTGGATAATTTTTTACCTAATTATGGCCCTTTGTTTTTTTTTTCCTTATACAGAATATATATAGTGAACACTTCTTCTGTGCACAATTCCTCCTACATTATTCATGTTTTACATTGCACATAGTTACATTGTTTGTTGCTTGTATTTGTATTTCAAATACAACATATTTATCTACAATGGTGATAATTGAAAACCTGGTTTCATGGCATTGCCATGTTTCTTGTCTATTATATGAAAGAAAAAAAAACAATAATTTTTTTTATTTTAATTTTGAAAGCACCTTATACTCACTTTCATTGTTTGTAACTTATGATGAGATTGTTGGTTTGTTTGATTTTGCCCCCAACCCAATTTCAAAAAAATAAAAAGCTTTTTTCTTTAAACCCGTCTGAAAAAAAATGTAAAAAAATTGAAGGGAAGTGTTTGTTAGCCATTAAGAATATTTCTTTGTTTTAGATACATGTCTTTCAGCGCCATATTTACAGCAAATGAGTAATCATAAGTTTCTGATTAATTAAATAAAAACATGAGCTTATTAATTCTACAAACATAACATTTGACATGTGTGCGGTAAATCTGGTGTAATGTTTGTTAACTATTGACAGAATTTCCAGTGGTTTTCTTTGGCCATTCTTCAGCTGATTGGTAGAGAGATTATAGTCAATTCCTGAAATGTGAGAAATAACTGTAGACTTAATGTCAGAATAGTAGCAATTAACACAATCGTTATGTCAAATTTGATCTCAATTCTTACCAATAGAGAATTGCTTGCTGCAATCAATGATTGTGTTTCTCCTTTTCTATTTTCAGACCATCAAAAGTTAGAAAGAGAAGCTAGAATATGTAGATTGTTAAAGCATCCAAATATAGGTAAGTAATTCAAAGAGATATTGTAGAAATGATATCTTTTATATTATGTCAATTTTTAAACTTTTCAGGAGTGATAAGAAGGTACCGTTGTTATGCACATCATGTAGTTAATTTTTGTGTGGTTCATAGCTGTATCATTCCTTGAAGAATTTTGAAAGTACTTTCCACAAATGTTCACAATAATAATGGTTAAAGACTAAAACATTGACTTTGTCATTCAGTGAAGCCACCAGCTTGAGACCATGCAAGTTCAAGGTTTGTAACACAAAAATCTATGTATCCTTGCCTTTTTGGTCAAATGCCAAAAAGGCTCTCTGAATATTATCCCCCTGTCCAGTCCATAACACTTGTGTCATTCCTTAAAATTTTGAAATGACTTTGCATAAATGTTTACTGTTCCGGATGTAACATAATGCAGATTCTATTGTGAAGTATAATCTTTGGGAGTATATATCATCTTCAGTTGTCTGCATTTTGTGATGTACACATAACTATATATCATCCACTGATGAGGGACCTCTTTCAGTTTTATTCATCATTTATAAGTGGTGACCTTAAGTAAAGAATAAGGTAAACCTTTAACCTGCTGGAACCAAAAGTGAATAAGCCAGTAAAAAGCCAGGCTAGCTTGTACATCCATGCAGTCTGACCAGGCTCTATATTTTTGGCAGACTTGCTTGAATTCAAATTCCCTGACTTAATAATAAAATTTGAAGCTGGACAAGTCCATATATGAAATTCAGTATGTTATGACTGTATCATTAACAAATTTGTTACAGTATATAGCTTTTATACTTCTATGTAGTGGTTCACAATCTTTCTAGTCTTTTTGTTTAGTGGTCAAATATAGTTGTTGATATGTGAAGACAAGGACAACTACTGACATAACTTTATAACCCATATAGTGTAATAAAGGTCACAAGTTTTAATGACTTTGACATGGATTAAGTCTGTGATGTGTAATAAACACTGTAAATATTCTGTAAACATGATCAGTAGAGTGGGGGAGGACACCCTGACACATTTTATAGCTGTCTATGAACATTTGACCTTAGTTTATGTAGATACTGACAATGTTATAGTTAAGAGTGATGGTAATTTATGGTAGTTCATTTGGTGTAAGTAAGGCCATGAAAATCATACTTTATCAATTAATATAACATATCACAAGAAAACTTCATGTTGTTCATATTCAGGTCTCGTATTTTGTGTTTTTGAAGTTAAAATTATATAATAATTTAGGTAATAACTAACAAATAATAGTTTCCTGAAAAAGATAAATCAAAACCAAATAAACTTAAATCAAGAATAATATTGATCATAGAAATGATATGCATGAATATCAAGTTAATAGCTGAACTTATGGAATACTAAATGCATTATATGTTTCATTTGCCAGTCCCTAAATGCCTGCTGTACTACTGATCCATTTTGAATTTTAAATATACATGTATTTAGACCTTGAGAAGAGCCCTAAATCATTTTGAACACCTACATTTTTTGACCGATTTCTGTTTCAATGGTGATGATTTTAAGATTTTACAATTTGTACAACTATAGCGTAGGAGTTAAGTGGGTATATGACAGGATGTGGTTTACTTTTAATTCCACTCATGACCTTTGACTATTTTATATCTCCATGTATTTTAATTGTAAATGTCATAATAATTGTTTGTACAACATAATGACTTGTAAAACCATTTATAGTACATCTTAACTGATTTAAGATATATTTTATTAAGGCGAGTTGTGTTGTACATGACCTTCACAGAAAATTTACAAAAAATTTGTTTTTAAATATTTGGAATACAGCAATTATTGGTAAATCGCGTTTTCATGTTTAATGACTCTTTGCTGTAAAATAAGTAGAGAAAAGATGAAAATGAACGTGAAGAGTCAGCATGTAAATTGTATAATGGGATCACCTTGGATGTTGTAGACCTTTTCTAGGCAGTTTTTCAGTCTTATCCAGAACATGTCTTATATATGCATGGAGTATTTTTAGTATTTCTTGATACAAATGTTCATCACCATGATACGCTGCATCCTACTCATGAACCTGCTCTTTACAGTATGTCAAAAGTCAAGGTCACACAAAATAAAATGCTTGTTTAGAGCAAAACTTCTACACATATGATATGAAAGATTTTAATGTAATTTGGCACAAATGTTCACCATTGTGAGTTGGTCTGTAACATGCAAAATTTAGGCACCTGCAACCAAGGTCAAGGTCACTTAGAGGTCAAAGGTCAGAATATATACTCAATATGTGGGTATTGATCATTTAGTCGTCATGATTTTTTGGGATTTTTATGTAAATGATTTAGTTCACCTTTGTGAGACTGAGCATTTGTGATGTGGTTTGTAACTTTTGATTGGCACTCCTGTTTGAGATAAAACTTGGCCTTTTATAGATTAAATGTGAGACTTGTCAAAAATTGGGTAGGGATAAACCACCAGATGACAAATCAATTTGAAGACCAATTAGTAAGTTTTCTGTAATAATTAATAGAGATGCAGTGATGGAGATCAATAAGTTGTAGAAAGGTTATGAGTGGTCTGTTGGGATCTAGCCACTCTGCATGATTAATTTTGCATAGGCAAGAGCCATTATAGCAATCATTACCAAGGGTATAATATGGTCTAGTATGGCTGGTGAGCTGGCATTGAGAAATGTTTAGTGTTTTACATATCAATATGTTGATTATTACACTTGCTCTTCTTGATTTCCTGCCAGGCAGTTTATCAACAGTAGTTCACTCTCAGACAGTCTGTGATACAGTATTGTACAGGGTCATACAAATTTACAATGTACATTCATATCTTTTATAACTTGATAAAAGTCTATAGCATCCCTGTTTTTATAAATCCATTCCACAGGACAAAGCTGCTGGTGTTTTGTTGAAATGTAAATGCTTATACATTTATTTGTGATGTTCTTCATCCTGTTCAACTTCTGTTTGTATGCCAGTACTATACTAGCTGCAGGATGTTACACCAGGGCTGCAACATACTGACATTCTACAAAATTTATGCAATGGAATACATATTTAATGCAATGGCATAAGATCATATGCTTGAAATGACCTTATCTCTGTCCAGACATTGCTCTGCTCAGATTGAGCATACATTTTCTTCAATGATCCTGGTTGTAAGGTTAGAGCTTGTACCACAGCATCACTGTGACAAAGTTGTGTTGTGTTCACAACACCCTTACATTTAATGATTCATATACACAACATTGACTTTTGTAACAAAACTCACTGCTTTCACCTAATGACTCTATAATCATAAAATACGAGTGTTTTTAGTATCACTTGATACACAGGTTCATCACCATGACATGTTGTGTCCCGCTCATAAACCAGCTTTCTACTTCAAATGTCAAGGTCACACAAAATAAAATGCTTTTCCAGAACAAAATTTCAACATGTGAATATTTTATTATATTCATTCAATAGGAATGACCCAGTGCATTTTCAAAGTTATTGACTGTTATAGGTCATTAAGTTTAAGTATGAATCAAAATTTATTATTTACTATAGTATTTGAATTTAACAGCAGTCTGCTGAGTGAGTCGAGTTTTTATATATGCCTGTTCTTGACAGTTGACCTCAAGCATTAAGGCTGTAATAGAAAAAATATCCTAAATGGTTAATGAAAAATGACTATCAGTGTGAGATTGGAGATAGTCAGTGAAATGTGTGATGTTATCTATTGGCTGAAATCAATGATAGTTAAGGACTGATTCACTGAGATCGTATCCTGTTTCCTTCAGGAAATAACAAAATTAAGAAATCATGTACAATTATTGTAATTTAACATCATAGCTTTATAAACAGTAACTACATTCTCATTGCATGGCATGTTGTTTTGAATTTTGAAGTATTGTTTATATTAAATTAATGTGCATGCATTGGTTTCTGGTTATAATAATAGTACTGCTGGTCATTGATATAAACCTATTTTTGATGATTAGCAGACTTCAATAGATATTTGATTTTAATGAAAATGAACAAAAAGTTAGCACTTCTGCCATTTAATCATTTAGACATATTTTGTTAACTTCTTATGCACAATCTGATGTTAATGCTAAAAACATCAAGTATGCTATCTTTATAGAACCAAGCATATGGTATTATTATAGAACATCATTGTAGAACCAGACATAAGTCATCATTATACAACCAGACATAAGCCATCATTATACAACCAGACATATGTCATCATTATATATACAACCAGACATAAGTCATCATTATACAACCAGACATGTCATCATTATACAACCAGACATAAGCCATCATTATACAACCAGGCATGTCATTTTTACAGAACCAGACATAAACCATTATTATAGCACTAGAAATTAGCATTCTAGACTTCTAGATTCTCAGTTTTTAGTATTAAGATTGTGAATTCAGTTAAACTAATGATTGAATTTCCAAGTTCAGTTTGCTTTATGACAAAGCCATAAAAGAAAACCAGAAACTAAAATAAAAGACTTCTTATAATTTCTACACCAATATTGATTGCTTTTATAATAGTAAATAACAATAATTTTTCTTCAATTTACTAATGGCCTCTTTTTATTAAGTAACATCTTGTTACCTGAAGTTTTTAACAAAGTTTTTAACATAACATAATTATATTTTCAAGTATTCAAAATAAGAACAGCTTAGTGTTCTTAACTAAATTTTAGTTGTTTAACATCAAACATTTACAAAATGTACATAGAATAAAAATACAACTTACCTAGATATAAAAATATAAGAAAGTTTAATCCACTTTTCCAGCTTTTATTTAATTTGTCAACACATATAGTTTAATCAGGCAGAATGATACTGCCAGCTGGAAAAGGGATCTTTTAAGGGGTTCTCTCACTGTCCATTGGTTTAACTTAGTTGACCAATAATTAAACATTATTTCTAGAGAGGCGGAACTACAAGATCTGGCTTAAGTCTGAAAATACTTGAGAAATAACTTACATATTTTCTAAT